CTCCCAAGGCAAACAGGTTTCAGGGGAGAGCCCAGACTAAGAGCGGTTCAAAACAACCCCTATGATAGTTAGCCCACGGACTACAGCCACCTCGCCCGGACCAGGGAAACCGGGGCACCCTCCCGGAGCCAGACCCAGGAGGGGAGCTCGTAGGCGAGCGTCTGGTGGCCGGGCCTTTGCCCATGGGGCCCGGTCAGGCTCAGCCCGAATAAACACCATGGAGCAGCCACCCTGTGGACCCACCACCCGCAGGGACAAGCATCGGGGTCGGGTGCTATGCAGACCGGGCGGCGGGTCGGGCGGGAGGCCCGGGCATGCTGATCGCCGGCGGCATAGACTAGCTCTAGGGACGTGGAACGTCACCTCGCTAGCGGGGAAAGAGCCGGAGCTGGTGCAGGAGGTGGAGCGATACCAGCTAGAAATAGTTGGACTCACCTCCACACACAGCGTTGGCTCTGGAACCAAGCTCCTGGAGAGGGGTTGGACTTTGTCCTTTTCCGGAGTTGCCCAGGGTGAGAGGCGCCGGGCGGGAGTGGGGATACTCACGAGCCCCCGGCTGAGCGCCGCTGTGTTGGAGTTCTCCCCGGAGAGCGAGAGGGTCGCCTCCATGCGCCTACGGGTTGCGGGGAGCAAGGCTCTGACTGTGGTTTGTGCTTATGCACCAAACAGCAGTTCAGAGTATCCGGCCTTCTTGGAGTCGGTGGGAGGGGTCCTGGAAAGGGCGCCGCCTACCGACTCCATAGTTCTCCTGGGAGACTTCAACGCTCACGTGGGCGATGACGGAGAAACCTGGCGGGGGGTGATTGGGAGGAACGGCTTGCCCGATCTGAACCCGAATGGTGTTTCATTATTCGACTTCTGTGCTTGCCACGGTTTGGCCATAACGAACACTATGTTCGAACATAAGGTGGCTCATAAGTGTATCTGGTACCAGAACACCTTAGGCCGGAGATCAATGATCGACTTTGTAATCGTATCATTTGATTTGCGGCCGTATGTCTTGGACACTCGGGTGAAGAGAGGAGCAGAGCTGTCAACTGATCACCACCTGGTGGTGAGTTGGATCAGATGGCAGGGGAACCGGTTGGAAAGACCCGGCAAACCCAAACGTGTAGTGAGGGTGAACTGGGAACGTCTGGCGGAGGACCCAGTCCGGGAGATCTTTAACTCCCACCTCCGGAAGAACTTCTCACACATCCCGAGGGAGGTTGGGGAGACGGAATCCGAGTGGACCATGTTCAAAGCCTCTATTGTGGACGCGGCCGCTAGGAGCTGTGGCCGGAAGGTCATCGGTGCCTGTCGTGGCGGCAACCCGAGAACCCGGTGGTGAACACCGTAGGTGAGGGAAGCCATCAAGCTGAAGAAGGAGACCTTCAAGGCCTGGTTGGCCCAGGGGTCTCCTGAAGCAGCTGACAGGTACCGGCAGGCCAGAAGGGCTGCAGCTGCGGTGGTCGCGAATGCTAAAACTCGGGCATGGGAGGAGTTCGGGGAGGCCATGGAGAAGGACTTTCGGTTGGCCTCAAGGAGGTTCTGGCAAACCATCCGACGGCTCAGGAAGGGAAAGCAGGGCTTACCCCAGGCTGTTCTCAGCAGGGGGGGGGGGGAACTGCTAATCCGGACGGAGGACATCGTCGGGCGGTGGAAAGAGCACTTTGAGGAACTCCTAAACCCGACCAACATGTCCTCTGCAGAGGAGGCAGCGCCTGAGGACCTAGGGGGAGGCTCACCCATATCCCTGGCAGAGGTCGCTGAGGTAGTTAAAAAGCTCCTTGGTGGCAAGGCGCCGGGGGTGGATGAGATCCGCCCTGAGATGCTGAAGGCGCTGGACATAGTTGGGCTGTCCTGGCTGACACGCCTCTTCAATGTCGCATGGGGGTCGGGATCAGTGCCCATGGAATGGCAGACCAGGGTGGTGGTTCCCATCTTCAAAAAGGGGGACCGGAGAGTGTGCTCGAATTACCGGGGTATCACACTACTCAGCCTCCGGGGGAAGGCTTATGCCAGGGTGCTGGAAAGGAGGCTCCGACCGCTTGTCGAACCTCAGATTCAAGAGGAGCAGTGCGGATTCCGTCCCGGCCGTGGAACAGTGGACCAGCTCTTTACCCTCGCAAGACTACTGGAGGGGTTCTGGGAGTTTGCCCAACCAGTCTACATGTGCTTTGTGGACTTGGAGAAGGCTTTCGACCGGGTCCCTCGGGGGGTCTTGTGGGGGGTGCTGCGGGAGTATGGGGTGCCGGACCCGTTACAACGGGCGATCCGGTCTCTGTACGACTGCAGTAGGAGCTGTGTCCGCATTCTCGGCAATAAGTCAGACACGTTCCCGGTGGGTGTTGGCCTCCGCCAGGGCTGCCCTTTGTCACCGGTCCTGTTCGTGATTTTCATGGACAGGATATCTAGGCGCAGCCTGGGGGCGGAGAACGTCAGTCTCGGGGGTCTCGGGATCGCTTCTCTGCTATTTGCAGATGATGTGGTCCTGTTAGCCTCCTCGGATCGTGACCTCCAGCATTCACTGGGGCGGTTTGCAGCCGAGTGTGAAGCGGCGGGGATGAGAGTTAGCACCTCCAAATCTGAGGCCATGGTTCTCTGCCGGAAACCGGTGGATTGCTCCCTCCAGGTGGGGACGGAGTGCCTACCTCAAGCGAAGGAGTTCAAGTATCTCGGGGTCTTGTTCACGAGTGAGGGTAAGATGGAGCGGGAGATCGACAGACGGATCGGTGCAGCTGCAGCAGTAAAGCAGGCGCTGCACCAGACCGTCTTGGTGAAGAGGGAGCTGAGCCGGAAGGTGAAGAGGGAGCTGAGCCGGAAGGCAAAGCTCTCAATTTACCACTCGGTCTACGTTCCTACCCTCACCTATGGTCACGAACTCTGGGTCGTGACCGAAAGGACAAGGTCGCAGCTACAAGCGGCCAAAATGAGTTTCCTCCGTAGGGTGGCCGGGCTCAGCCTTAGAGATAGGGTAAGGAGCTCAGTCATAAGGAGGGAGCTTGGAGTCGAGTCGCTACTCCTTCGCGTCGAAAGGAGTCAGCTGAGGTGGTTCGGGCATCTAATTAGGATGCCTCCTGGACGCCTCCCACTGGAGGTTTTCCAGGCACGTCCAACTGGGAAGAGACCCCGGGGAAGACCCAGAACACGCTGGAGAGATTACATCTCCCAGCTGGCCTGGGAACGCCTCGGGATCCCCCAGAATGAGCTGGAACATGTTGCCGGTGATAGGGAGGTCTGGGTCGGCCTGCTTGACCTGCTGCCACCGCGACCCGACCCCGGATAAGCGGTGGAAAATGGATGGATGGATGGAGAACTTTTTTTTAGCTTTTAATACATTCCTTATAAATTATGTTTCTACAACAAATTAAGTTTTACTCTAGGCTTTAAAAAGTACTTTTTATAAATACTTGACTTTTTAAGATTAGTTTAATTTTAATGACTTCTTTTAATTGTATCAATTATTTAAGGACTTATTCACATTAAACCAACCTTTTCACTGATTTTTGTAAACATTGTTTTTAAAACTATAAAATAAGCTTTATTTAAGTTTCTTCAAACTTGAAAAAAGGCTTTAAATGACCAGTTAATGCCACCGTGTTCTGAGCTGAGAGGCCTGTACTGTGCACTGTCCTGAACAGAGTCCTCTGGCAGCAGGAAACTAAACTAAAGCTGACACCAACTTCTTCCAGAGAAACATCTACCTCTTCCTTCTTTAATCCTCTTCCAGTTCAGGTATTTTCTTCTTTTGATGACCGTACCTAAGTTACAACCTTACAGGGAAACTTCTCTTCCTCTCTCTGACACTTGGACTCGGGGGACGTTGTCCCGATATGATGAGACCAGCTGTCCTCTTGGTCTGTGCTCTGGTTTCTGAGAAGCCCGGGGACACCGCTGACCCTAATGGGCTAAATGCAGCTCACAAGCCAGATTGCTAATTCATAAACAATGGACTGGATCACGGACGGCTCTGACTAGGGTAGGGTTACACACACACACACACACACACACACACACAGTTAATGTGGACTGATTACTGATGCAAGGGCAGCCACAGGATACGAGGATGTCATTACACACCAACCTGGACTTGTGTGTGTGTGGGCCTCCTTGTCCCCCTTGCAGAGACTATGTTCTTGATGTTACTGAGGGCCATCAGAGGAATGATTCATCTAATTGATTTATTCAGTTGACTTTATGATGATACATTGAATTAGTAAAGTACCCAACGGTAAACAAGCATCTTCTGTGTCTCTGCAAAGCCCTCCGTGAGCTGCCGATATGAAGCACTCACTCCCAATATAGTCATCAGGAGGAGAACATCCTGTAGTGCGACTCGGTGGGTTACCATGAAATATGTTCAGTTTGGGCCAAAATAAAAAAGTATGAAAATATGATCTGAGGCAAACAGAAAGCAAAAATAAAAAACAACCAGCATCTGACAGATTGACAGCAGGCAGACTTTGTTTCAGGTCCATCACTTCCCTCCGAGCTCTCTGCAGAGCCTGAAGATCACACACACACACACACACACACAGATATAAATAGCTCTGCATCTATACACAGTGGGATGCTCAGCTGTTCTGGCACACACACACACACACACACACACACACACACACACACACACACACACACACACACACACCTGGACTCAGTGACTTTTCAACTTTGTCCTTTAACCCTTAACGGGAAGCTCTATCTGTATAACGTGACAGCTGAGACAACATGAACACAAACAAACAGGGTTTGATATTTAAAGGACTAGTGAGTGAATGTTTGAGGCCAACAACAGGAGACAAACACACACTAGAATAGAGCAGGACAGACACTCAAAGTCTCCATGGACGAACATTGAGTGTTCAGAAGTCCGCCCCCTGCCCCACATCATGCAGTATGCGTCTGTGTTTGGTTCATTGCATTTCACTTCCCAAATGACACCTCTGGAAAAAAAACAAGCAACGCAGACAGAACGGGCTCTCATTGGACGGAAGCCAGAGGGCATGATGGGTACTTACAAACTGCCTCTTCTGGGAAGGCTCAGCTCCTTCTGAAAGAGAGAGAGAAAGATTTAATTATTTTTGTTGACCTCTTTGGTGACAAACATTCATCAACATTCAGACAGTCTGGTCATCAACCTGTACGGCTCCGTTACAGCCGGTCAGTACAGATGTTTAGACAACAGGCGTCACTGTGACATCACTTCACAAGGCAGCTTCTACACGAGATATCATCTTCCTCCACCAGTGAAGTGTTTAACGTCTGTTAATGCGCTTCAAAGCTACAAGGATTTGTTTCAAACATGAGACATGCAACAAACATCTGTTACGTATCAAAATGCAGTACAGTATTACATATCAAAAGTCACATCATTGCAATATGCTCACAATAATCCCAAATACTAAACTGCACAAAGCCAAGAAACCTCAGCATTGTGAAGAACCCGTCGAACGTCTTCGCTCTGAATTACGATGTGCAAATCTGTGTGTGTGTGGAAAGGTGAGTTTCATTTGTGCACCTGAGCGGCACTCTCTACGAGCGACCACACGGGGGCAGAGGAGTGTCGTCATAATCACCACGAGCTCATGGAGGCGACCACGCTGCTGCTTGTTGTATTAGTAACAGACAACGCTTATGAGAGGCCGAATGTGTGAACAAGAAAAAACATTTATCCTGTCGCTGAGATTATCTAGACCTTTCAAATAGTATGAATTTTGATCTGAAGAGGTGCAACATAAAACTCATGTACACGACCTGTAACCTGACGGCGCCTTGCAACAGCTTGAGACAACAGACGTCCTGGAGAACACCACCTGGCCAACAGCACCAATCAGTGTGTGTGTGTGTGTGTGTGTGTGTGTGTGTGTGTGTGTGTGTGTGTCATCATAGAAACAGAAATGTGGTCCTACTGTATTGTGATCAACCACAGAGGCAGGTTTGAGTACTTTGCCAGGTGTTCTTATGTCCGTTTGACTGTCTGTGTTTCTACCTGTGCTGTTCCTTTAAAAGACTAAAAATAAATTACAAAAATAACTGCGGTTATTTTCATTATGGATTAATCTTCCTATTATTTTTATGAATTTATAATTAATCATCAATTCATCAATTAATTGTTTAATTAATGTTTTTAAAAACAATTGTAAAAAAATGGCAAATTGTAATATTTAAAAGCTAAAAACAGAAAATGGTAGAAATGAACGAAATAATTATTTGAAGGTATAAAATAATATAAAACAAATGGATGGATTATCAAAATAGTTGCTGATTAACTCCAGACTAATCAGCTCATTTTAAACAGCACTGAAACTTTGTTGATGTCCGCAGAAATGCTGCAGTCAAGTGTGATTTGACTAAAGAATGGCTTCCCTTGTGAGCTGCAGCTTCTCAACAGCACATGAAGAAGAACAAACGGCAACAAAATCGGGCCTCACTCCTTTCTAATCATTCCCGAGTCCATTTAAGCTGCGCTGGTGTTCAAAACATATTCTGCTCTCTGATTAATTAGAGGACACGTGCACACTGAGCATGTGCGGCGCACTCGGCAGGGATGAGATGCACCTTTTGGCTCTGCTTCCAACCCCTCTCCCTCTCCCTCTCTCTCCCTCTCTCCCTCTCTCCCTCTCTCTCTCTCTCTCTCTCTCTCTCTCTCTCTCACACACACACACACACACCCTCTGAGTTCCTGCGTGGGACGGCTGTGCCATCAGAGTCTGCCTCTATCTCCTCATCTCCCTCTGTGCAGATGAGCTAATGGACATAATGGAGTTCAGTCGGAGCACAGTGAGTGGGTGAGTGGCTGTACGGCAGAGGTCTGCACTGTGTGTGTGTCCAAGCTATGATAACAGCAATCAAAAAGGTTTGCTAGTCTTTAGATGGCATCCCTTGAACAGTACAGGACCAATTAGGCAACCTTTTATAACCCCCCCCTGCTGCTCCTCCCCTCCTGTGGGCTGCGTTTACACTGCAGGACTCAATGTGGAGCAGTCCACCTGTTTATCCACTCTTAAAAACGCCACGTCCGATTACACGCTAAACAGCGACGAAGCCCTGACGTGTGAGCCAAAACACAAGCAGGACAGAGAAAATGACGGAAGGGAGGCGGGATACACATTATTGACCTGAATGTAATGACTGAACGGACCTAGCTCAGGTTCCACTCTACTGCTACTTACACATAAAGGTCAGTTTACCGGCCACGTGCAGATTTAAGGTCATACTTTTTAACAAGATAGTTGCGTATATTTGTGATAAAACCAAGAAAGACAAAAAATACTATTCCAAACAGTACATATAGATATGTCTTCAGACACGTTCTGAGGGGATCTTTAAGGCCGGGGATCCGGAACAATGGAGGCGCTGGTGCTGTGTGTGTGTGTCTGAGAAATTATATTTAAAATATAATTAGAAAAATTATTTATAAAGAAAAAAATAAACTGAAAGCTACAAGCAAAAAGAAAAAATAGTGAGGTTGATCCAATGAGATCAGGCTCTTTAGAGCATCCTCTTCTCCATCCCTCTCACCAGCCTCTTAACCGTTCCCTCATTACCCGTCTCCCCCCCTCTCCCCTCCTTCCTCTCCCCCTCAGTTCAACTCTGTATGAAACACACAAAAGAGTAAATAGAACTAGAGGAGAAAAAAAAAAGCTGTGTTTAAGTACTTTACGCTTGTATCATTCATCTGCCCACACAGAGCTGTGTAATGTGAAATTATACTCGTCTGACAGCTTTTTGCATTGTACTGTGTGTGTGTGTGTGTGTTGCAGCTGCTTTTATCTGAGGCCTGAGGGAGGATGATCATCCTAAAGCCACCCTGCAAAAATACCCCAGGAGGGATAATAAGGTAATGCCCTGTATAAAAACACACATATACTGCACACACGCACACACACACACACACACAAAGAGGCTGCTTGTACTAAACAAACTAAACCGGCACAAAGAGAGCTGTGATGAAATTATCCCCAGTGACGGCGAGGAGCAGAACACAAAAGCCTGAAGCAAGTTCCCCGATGGAATACAGGCATGGATAATGTGCTTTACGGGAGTGAGGGAGAGGCAGGAGGGCTGGGAGGGTAATGTGATTACAGAGATGGAGGGAGAGAGGGGCGGGTGAGCGGAGGTAAAGAGATACAGGTTAAAAGGTGACAGTTCAGGCGTGACATGTAAAGGCGCGATGTCACAGCGAGGACTGCTGACGCTTAAACCGGTTTCATCAAACGCAAACAGGCCGGAACAACATTGGTCATCAGCAGCCTGGGACGACGGTATCACCGCACTACATCCAGAGTGTGTTGCAGTAGTAACAGGCGGTATGACAACGAAGATGAACACAGTATTATGTTCGTTCATAATCAGAAGGACGGAGCCACGAGGCCGGTGACTAGGAAGAGATCCTAATCGCTGCACTCGTTCACTAGAAAGTTGATGTATGTTTTACGAGACGACACATGGTGAAGTTAGACTCAGAGAAAACAAAAACTGCATCAACACATGGGGTCAGATCAGTCTCAATAATTGCAAATGCACACATAAAGACTCACAAATGCAAACAGAACAATTCACAAATATATTCCAATACACACATGAATAAATTATGATTTATATAAATGTAAAAAAAAAACAAAAAAATCACAAATACATTTCCGCATTTGTATGCATTTCTGTGTGGATTTTTCTATTTATTTGTGGATTTGTATGCATTTGTTTGTGGATCGCTTCACATTTATTTGTGGGTTTTATGAGATTCCCCTGACGTCGCTGGATTCACAAATGCGTTTTTGTCAACATTCTCATTTTCAACCAATCACATGAGCGCAGCTCCCCCCTCCCCTCCCCACGAGGCTGCTAGCATTACAGTTGCGCAATTTGCGGAGGCGACAGGTCAGAAGTCGAGAAAGGGCAAGCTCAAATCGTGGCAGCGGCAGCTAGTAGAGGGCACTTCCTGTTGCAAGCTGCCACTGTTTTGGTGCGGATTCCGCGGTAGTTTAGCCTTTATTTGTCGTTATTTGACATTATGTGACAATACATTAAGGTCCTTGAAGGTATGACTGTTGGTAGTTGTATGGATGGATAAATGTGTGTGTGCAGCTGTCAGGAGGCGTCAGGAGGAAACACAGAGCGGACGGGAGAGATGACGAACTAACGACGCGGTGAGGTGGCGTTGAGCCTCCCAAACACGTCCCCGCAGGACCCCCAACATCTCCGCAGTATTTGCTCTGAGGATAATATCATCTACGAGGACGAAACACACTCCCTTTGCAGCACTTTCTCACCTAGTGAACCCGTTATGTATCTATATGTTCAGTACATGTGTGTGTGTGTGTGCTATGTATTTAGCTGTCCCACCCCGGGGCCGACCATAATGACATGTTTTAGTCGAGCTACAAACATGCAATTAACAGGAGGATGCAAGGGAGCCGAGCTCCACCGGAGACAATTAGAGCTGCAGCAGCAGCAGCCGGCAGCCATAATTCATTATCAACACTGTGAATATTGATGAGGAAACAGTGACAACAAAGAGAATCCACAATGACAAATGCAGGGCAGGAAAAAAGAAAAGAAACACACTGATATTTAGTCTTTATATTGCACAAAGAAAACAAAGTGAGTCTGGTGTCTTTCTTCTTTTTCATAACGCAATTATAACAGCAACACTTTGGAAACTGCTGCAAATGAATTGGATTCGCTTGTGCGGGCGACGTTACCAATGCAAAGCGTCTCCTCGACAGAGCTGACCTTTAAGGAATGGAGAGCCGGGGAAATCAAAATGAAGGAATCTTTCATATTAGCTGTGTGGCACCATCCATTTTCATACAACCTGCCCTGTCAGAATATGAACTCATCCACAGTAGAGATGTGGCCAGCTGTCACACAGCAGTTGATGGTCAAACACAATGTCCTTCTTGGCAAGTGGCGGGCTAGTCTGGCTGTTTATGGTGCCAGCATGATAACCACTAGAGAGGCTATTAGCAGTCAGCTAGCCAGAGCCTGTGAGTAGTCACTGCATCGCCTCTACGGTACTGCTTATAGCCACTGCATCGC